CCGGCGTCCGTGTCGCCGTCCATGGCGACGCGACGGGACCTGGTGCAGCGGCTGGGGGTGTTGTGTACACCTGTGGCGATGTTGTATGCACTGCACTACGGCGGCGTGGCGCGCACTATGCCTTTACACTGATTTTTACGCGTTTTGGCTCGCTGCGCTAGCCGGCGGACCGGTTGCGCAATATTTCGCAATATTTCGTACATGGTACTAACAATGCTCTTTTAAATGGGCACACGGACTGACAACAGATTGAATATCATCAACGTTCGGGGGGGGGGGGGGGGCAGCGGCATTGGCCGTAGTCAGCCGTCAACTACTACTGGAACTGCCGTATTTTTCTTATATATGCACGCACCACCTGTAAATAAAATAAAATCTAAATTGAATAAAAGCCTCATTGTGTCCCATCCGTTGTACCACGATAGTGGTACGTAACCACTTGTTACTTTTGATGTACCAATACATTACATACGCCCTAGTAATTCTATAAAAACTATTTCATTAGAAATTACATTTTATTTTAGTAGGAAGTTATATTATGATGTGAATTCTGTTAAGTTTGTCCCAGTGAATTGCTTATGTATCGGTTGTGGTCAGCTCGAACGGTTTATTCCGTTTGAATCGTCGGTATGTTAATCTATTCATTATGAGACTGGGCGCCTCAATGTTGGTATGATGTTTCAGTCTGTTTTTATGTGAGATAACATACTTTTTTTATATAATAGCTGCTTCCATCTTGTCACCTAAATCGTGGTGAAAATCAAATTTCTTTTGCACTTTGGCGCGTTGAAGATGCTTCTTGGTATTTTGTTCTGTAAGATTTGTATCTTGTTGCTTGATCTGGATCGTTAAAGCGAAGCCCCAAATCTGATTTACCTAAGTCCATAGGCGCAGCGTCAGGATTTATCGATGTAGGGGCACTCGGGGATGATGTGGATGTGATCTCCATGAGATGTTCTTGCAAATCTCTCGCTTTCTCTTCTAAAAGAATGCACTAGGGACGTCAATGCAAATGTTGTCGTTGGCAATGAAAACGTCACCATAGTCATTTTTTAGTATAGAAGATAGAGCACCCGCCGAAATTGATATTTTACAGTTTTAATAAATTCGGTAAGGTACGAATCCCTGATAGCGTTGGAAAGTATTGTAGAATTATTTCCATACAAAAGAGAAAGTCGTTCCACGTTTGGTTCTGCGATGGAGGTTCTCTACCTGGAGGCATTGATTGAGTCAATTGTCATTTTTGTCGATACATTGTGAACGACATACCGTATTTAATTTTAGCCGCCGTGTTTGCCGGAAATCACCAGACAGTAAAATCATTGTGCCTCCAAAAAATATCGAGTCATTGCAAAGTTTTTTCAATGTTCGGTTAAATGCTTCTAATCCACGTTTATGCGTCAATCTGCGTTCGTCCGAGATGATGATTTTTGATGTTGATAAAACTTTGGCCATTGCAGACTGTTTTGCAATAGAGTCATGTGGGGCAAGAGTGCGCATTTTTTTAAAAATTTATCATAAAATTATAATTTTTGTATGAAATAAATTGAAAAGGAATTTTTCATTCAAAGGCTTTATTGATTTAACAGTTACATATCATAAAATTGAATTTAGCTACTCGTACTTAAAAAAAAAATTAAACTTAGTCAGAATGCGTACACTTACCCAATATCGGGGTATATGTGCGCAGCACTGCGGGTAAGTGTACGCACTTAGAATATCTGAAACGGCATCCTGTTAAATATTTTTAATCAACTATTTAACTATTTTTAATCATCACTTATAATTATTTATTATAATTTTTGATATTTATATAATATCTATCCCTCAATTTTAGGTTAAAAATAAACTCATGTGTTGCTTCTGAAAACGAAGTTTTATTTCGTTAATTTGGTACAAATACGATAACTTATCTAACTACACTATTATTACAACTTTACCTGAAAACGAAGAAACGACATTTAAAGTCTATTCTTCCACCAATTATTCTTATTTATCTAATTTAATTAATAAATCTAACACAATAAATTTCTTTTACAATGCTATTTTTTCATAACCTCTCAACTGACCATTGACCTCAGACCAAGGATGCCACAGACACTATATAGCACTTGTCAGTTGTCAATGTCGTTGGTAATGTAGTAAGCGCGGCAAAATTCAAAATTAAAGAAATATTATTTCTTTACATTTATATATTAAATATATACTCTCAGCATTGGATCCAATCTTCTGTAGGTGGATCAACGTAGTGTTCGCCACACAGTGCGCAAAAACAATCATTTTCTTTAGATTCTAATTTTTTTCACTCGCCTTAGTTGTATCTTTGGTAGTATCACTCTTCTTAGTGTTTCTTTGTGATTTTATGGTAGTTTTATTAGCATAAGCTTTGCTAGTTTTACCTGCACAAGCTTTTTCTTGTTTTAATTCTAGACGACTTTTTTTTAGCTATTTATTCTTCCTCATCTTGTCTTTTTTTTTTCTATTTCCAATTTAAAAGGGCTATCAGTAGCAATTATCGATTTTTTACCGGCTCTTCGTCAATTTTGGATTTTTGCTTTTGGAAATGGTTGTATTGATGATAGTGGAATAAATCCATTAGAGCATGCATCTACAGGTGGCGAAGAACTTGTCATCAAAGCACTAGAAGTACCGGGCAAAGGCTCTAATGTGCATTGTGCGCTCGATGTTGAAGCAATGACATTATTCTGTGAGACATTTTGTTCGGATGACGTAGATGGGAGGTAGATATCAGTCACAGAAGCTGCAGTGAAATCTTCTTCTGAAAATATTTCCCTATCGATAGGCCATATCCCAGAATTTGTCACATTCGTAAGCAAATTTCGTTTTCAATGGTCCAAAAAATCCACGATCCAATGGTTGCATTTTGTGACTACTGTGTGGTGGAAGTGTAAGTAAATGGATACCATTATCACGACAAAAGTTAATAGTAGCTAGAGAAAGATGACTACTATGATTATCTAATATCAACAAGACTGGATTTTCTTTAGTAGGCTGTACGTTTTCTTTGAAGTGGTGAAGATATTCTAAGAACAAATTTGTGTTTATAAATCCAGAATCAGATACCATTCCAATACTTCCTGGAGGTGCATTATTTAGTAAATAACCCTTCATTCTCTTACGAGGGAATATAAAAGCTGGTGGAACATAATTTCCTGTAGCACATTTAACCCAAACCGCCTGTACAGAATTAGGTTAAAATTGCATAATGGCGAGTTATTTTATTAAGTTTTAATACTTAATTACGTAAACTAGATACATAAACGAAGATACTTAGATACAACAAATAGTTATAACCATAGCATGATTCTAAAAGTATTTCAATTGAAAATTGCAAAAAAATCATAAGAATTGCAACAAAAACTTTTAGTTACCAATAATTTTGAAACTACGCAATCTTACCAGACAAGACTCCAGTCTCTTGTCCTACGTCGTAGGGACTACTGAAGGTAGTCAGTCCCCCTACTTTACTATCCATGGTTTTTTAGAAAATGGGCCTGCGCACACTTGCCCCACATGACTCTACTCTCTTTTACTAATGAGCATTCTGCTCCCGAGTAGAAATGAGTGGGGTACCACTCACCGTTATGTTTAAAGGTACCTACAGGTGAAGCAACTGCACACACTTTGACTGTCTTTTTGGAGCCCTCATCCTTCCTCAAGCGGTTGACGAAGTGTCCGGTCTCGCCGAATTTGAAGCATCTCATGCTGTTTAACGCTCCCGGTGTGGATGGCTGCGAGGTGAATTTCTGGTCTTGTCTTCGCTTCGTGGGTAGTCGGCTTGTCGATGTCCAAATTTGTTGTAGAATTACAAATGCATATTGCAAATTTGTTTCGTCAGCGTTGGGAGGATGAAGTTCTTAGCATCTTCTCCGGGCGTTGCGAGGCATTGTCCACTGCGGCTGGTCGTTTAAAGGAGAGTGCTTGCAACTCCTTCTGAAGTTGCTGTCTCGTATGAATTTCATTTGTGAATGTCACACGGTGTACTCGATTATCAAATTGAGCAATGTGTGTTAAGATGGTTGCAAAAGCGATTTGCTCAATGGACGCATCTTTCAAGTGAGCCATGAAGGAAGTGAGAAGTCGTACCGCGTATGCACTCAAGTTTTCATCAGCTCGTGGCCTTCCAATCTGCATATATATCAGGGATGCAGTCATCGTCTCCAACTGAATTAATCGCGCGGCGAACTGGGATTTACAGTCTTCCCCAGAAATCTACGAGTAGGTGATCTACGACAACCACGATGATGTTGCTACGCATCATAATTAGTTCGACACCCGTTAAATTCTTGTCCCCGATGCATAATTCTGCCATGGAACACCAAGCACGCGCGCCAGCATCTCGATTATCCCGATTAAATTCCGGCGAATTAAAATGTTTGGTCGAATGGGATTTTATCTACGCATCAATAAGATTGTGCATATTGACATTTTGCACTTGCAAAAAGACACTTTTTATTATCATTGTCACTATTTTATTTTTTGTCACTGGATCGCAGATTAGATTCCACTTCTGGTCGGATCAACCTCCTCCTCAACTTCATCAACAACACTCCAATTCAAATTACGCGCCATTTATTACAATGTCAGTATTAAATGAAACCAAACTAATGGAATTGGTTATAAGTTCTGTGCGCAATTGTGTAAGGCTGGAAGTCGTATTGCTTCCCGTTATGAGATCATCTACATAGAAATCATTCTCAATGACCAAGTTGGTGTGGGGGTGAATTTGTTTGCTAACCAGAGACAGTTGTTTTAGACAGCGGATGGCGAAGAATGAAGCCGAGGCGGTGCCGTAAGTGACGGTGTTTAATTCATATTCTTTTATTGAGTCATGGGGCAAAGTTCGAGATCTATTCTCTGGAGTAACAAGAACCTGTCGGTACATTTTTGCAATATCGGCCGTTAAAGCGTGCTTAAATCTGCGAAATTTTATGAGTATTGAAAATAAATCGCGTTGTATGGTGGGTCCCACCTAGGGAATGCTATCCCGACTCAAGATTGCAAATTCGGGATCCCGCGGGATTGATATTTCTATTCCCGAAATTTTCGGGATCCCGTCTAATTTAAAAAAAAAAGTTGAATTCAGATGCGAAAATGCGTGCCAGTCCAATATTCTAGTAAGTAGGCTGACTGTTAATAACTGTGTGTACATTAACATTTAAAAAGCGCCGATTTATTCCAGATGTCCATTCATCTAAAGTGACTGTAAACCTGTAGTCTTCATTCCTCAACTTTAGTAGATCTTCTGTCACTTTTATTTTGAGCGTCATTCCATAATTCATCACAATTTATTTAATTGTGTTTGGCGAAGAAGGTAATTTGTAACCTTTTGCGACAAAAAGACTCTTCATGTCCTCAGAAGTACAGAACACTCTGAACGGCAAACCATCTTTGGCGACCATTCGAGAAATCATCATCTCTTTTCTTACGTTAGTATCGGATGGAAAATAATCACTGATTTTCTTTTTTTTTTCTGTGGAGTTTCGTGATTTTCATGATCTTCTGTTGTAAAATGAGCCTCCACGATAAATAATAGGTGGCGGCGCAACTGACGACGACGCTCTAGTAGACCCTGACGAAGTCGAAGGCAGTGATACATTATCCGGCTCAAGTGTACTTGTTCTTCCGGCTGTCGCATTCAATTTAGTGTTAATTTTATGGATTGACATCATATGGACGTGTAAACCTTTTGTAGACCCAGATGAGGTTTTGAGAACAGCTTTACACAAGTTGCATTGAGCAGTCAAATTATTAACTGCTTTCTTAAAATATCTCCATGGCTACTGCACTCCACGTACGCTTGATCTGGATTATTTGTCGACATTTTAAGGTATTAACAAACGAACACTTACAAGAATCCTATAGTTTTGTTTATTTAACTCACATAAACAATAAATGCGTAATTAAAGAAAAAACTGTCTCTGCGCGCGCATATACTTCTTTCTCACTTACTCGACAGTACTCGACACAGTTCTATATTATCTGTCCCACTCGTCATTTGTCGCTAATATTCGTAAATAGTCGGAATAGTTTTCTAGCGGCCGGCCGTCAGTCAGCGCGCCGCTTGCGCCCCGAGTGATTGTGTGTTGCGTCGCTGACCACTGCCGCCCAATCCCGTCAATCTCGAACGGGATCTCGTCATATGATGCGTCGGGATTGATCCCGTAAAATTACACGAGATCTCGCGTGATCGGGATCCCGCGGGATCGGGATTGCATTCCCTAGTCCCACCATCTGAATCTCGTTGAGAGATATGGCTGAATCCGACTGAGGAGATCCATCAAATACTACACGGACCTTTGTGCTACTGCTTTCTTCTTTGAAAACCGGATGGTGCGGTAAATAATATATTTGCGTCAACTGACTTTGGGCTGGGATAATTTGGATCAACCATTTGACCCAACTGCGCATACTCCTTCATAAAATTGAAATATGATTCGCGAAGGGATGAGTTTTGCAGTAACTTGCGTTCTAGTGAAGAGAAACGTTTTACTGCAATGTGCCGGAAGCATCCTAACTGATTTTCGCGTGGTGCTCTAAAAGTGCTCTTCACAACGTCTTCCTTCTTTCGTCAAAGGAGATATCTCTGGCTACTCTTCTACATCCCAAAATTTCTCAAAATCGTTTATTGTTTGATTGCCAGACACATTAGATATTTTGATTAGCTATTTACAATTTTTTTTGTAGTGTGGGGTACATTTTTGCTTTAGGATATTTGCACCACACAAACTCCAAAATAACTCGGAACTGATTAGCATATTGATGTCACCGGGTTTATTAAAGTTTGGATCAACCAGTTTGATATTTTGCGATATATTTATTTGTGAAGTGTTGATCATAAATTGTGGGAGCCTTTCAGTAATTTTGTCTAAAATTAAACATGATAATTTTGTTGTAAATTTATGAGCTACAAGATTTAATTTATATAGTAGCCCTTTCTTTGACGTGTGATACACCTTGAATTAGCACCTAATTTTTGGCTCATTCTTTTTGTAATAAAATTGGACTGTGAGTCCGAATCAAGAAGAACGCGGCAAGTGACTGATCTTTCGCGGTTGACGAGCACGCTGACATGCAGTCGTAATATGTGC